AGTAATTCACTTACTGCTAGATGGTTATAATTGCACTTCTCAAAACCTGGAAAATTCACCATCAAGTATTTTTATTGTTTTTAAAGTCTCTGCAGTAAACACAGCCCTTGGCCTTCAGGTCTTCCCTAGCCAGCTCCATTTGATTATAATTGTTCACTTTCATTAGGAACTTCACCTATAATTAAGTGCATTCATGAGAAAGCTTGGTGAGTGTTTCAACACAATATGTACTTGCTTTCATGCTTCAAATCAGAGATTCTAGTCTGTTGATTTTGATAATTTCTAAGTTGTTTCTTTCATTTTCATTTCAGTTTATCATTGGATAAATTGTTAGACATAGTTTTCTTCTAAATGGAAACCCAACATGCAAAGTATTATTTGATTAGTATCTTAAGAGTTTAGCAGATTCCTTTTATCCTTTCTCATTTCTCTTTCAGTTTGTATCTTAACAAATTTCAGTGGGTTTCCAAATAACTTAGACATGTGATATAACTTATCATATTTACAGAAAGACATGGCTTACTCACTGAAATTTGAACTTTTTTTTGCTTTATGAAGACTCAGTATATGTTAGGTTCTTTCAAGATGCAAAAGAGACATGTGCTCAGGTTACTTCCACAAGACCATGAAATTCGTTATTCATGTCTATGAGCCAGAATTCTTCTCACCCTTTATTACAGTACAGGCTCCTGCACCAACCTCATTCTCCTGACTGGCTGTCTGTCTGTCTGTCTGTCTCTCTCTCTCTCTCTCTCTCTGTATTCATTCAAGTAGCTACGTGCACAGCATTCACTGCCTCAGCTTCAAGGAAAGTTTGCTGCAACAGAATGGCCCCCCAAAAGGAAATCTCTGTCTGGGAGGCACATCAGCACTGTAGTATGCTGAGAGTAGGTCAGACTCAGAAATACATATGAAGCAAGAGGAACAAGAGCTACCATCCACGGCCCATGGATGCACCTGGACAACCTTGCATTCCCTAATGTTAGGGAAGGAGGGATACGGAAGGAAGGAAACAAAGAAAGAGACACTGAGGCCCGCTGTGGGCTGGGAAGACCTTGAGACAATAGTGAGACCAGAGTCCAAGAGCCACCTCGTCTCTCCTCCTTCAGTTTTGTCTGTATTAGTCAGCTCTGCGCTACTACAACAGTTACCTGCACAGGCTATTTATGCAATAAAGATGGGACTATTTTGAATCACAGTTCTGGAGATACAGCCCAAATCCAGTGGCCTTTTTCATTTCATTCTCTTATGAGAGCAGCCCATCATGTTTGGAATTCAGTTCACAGTGAGTGACATGAATAACCAAGGCATTACAGCCTTGAGGGGTTCTGCAGAAGCACATCTTCGGAGAATAATACCAATCTGGCACTAGAGTTTTCAACCCAACAATCAAACCCCAGTTTCAGTAACCTTAAACACTCATAAACTATCAAAGAAGAATGAAGACATGGGCACCCCTTGGGGAGCTAGTGAGGTAGAAAGTCTCTGAACCTGTATTTGGAGGCAAGTGTCTTGAGCGTCCCCGAACACAACCTTCTCCTCCTTCATCTCTTGAGCCAGGCAATGGGAAATCACGCTATTGGATATAAATTTACTGGAAAGCCTGGAAATACAGAAAACTATCTCAATTCACTCAAGGCAAACATCAAAATATCATTCAAGATACACTGCCACTGAAAGCAACCATCAAGTTATTTGTCCTCTGGAAGGCTACTTCTGCTGTTCACCAGCTGGTGCTCCATGGGGGTGGGTGATACAGCTACTCTGCCTGCAGCTGATTCATCTTCTTCTGTATCTACCAATAACTTTGAAGGCCTGGAGTTGGAGCTACTCAAATGTTGCGGCTAACTGACCAGTTCATGTGGAATGGCCAAGCTGAGCTCTCCAACCACACACCCTTTCAGATGAGAGGTCAGCCTATGAGTTAATATCTGCATTCCTGGCCTGGGCCCCTGATAGCAAACACAGATGAGGGACTGTGGGTGGTGGAGTATTCTGAGATTGTGTAGAAAGAGAAGGCAGGTGACAGGGTAGGCTGATAGGGAATAGGATAGAAAAGCGACTTCACTTCCCAGATTCTGGGACTTTAACTCCAGAAGTGAAGTGAGCTAATCAACTTTCTTCACTTCTGACTCATTACTGTCAGAGTTGGAAATAGCATCAAACTGTTCATATTACTATACAATTCAAAATATATAATATAAATATAAATTGAAAGGCATGCACATCACTTTTCAAGTTTTCTACAACTCCAGCACTAGCTTTTCCAACCTGCCCTGATGGAGACAAGGCAGCATTAGCCACACTGCGGGTACAGCACCCAAAAGAGAGATTGTTTGGCTCCCAAATGCAGCTGTGAGAGCCTTGAGAAACAAGGACCATCACTGCTAACTGGAAGGTTTGTAAGTCACAACAGCATCTCTCTCCCATAGGATAGGAAGGATAACACACAGGCTATGTGTCAAAAATCCTGAGTATATGCCTACGTGCACTTGTGGCATGTGCTGAATTCTAGCCCAAAGTCCTTGGGCATTGAAAAGTTCCTCTCATGTCCTGTGCACAATACTACTTTGCATCACCTTTCCTGTGCTGGGAAAGATTAATAATATTCATGCCCAAGAATGTGAACTTGAACTATTCAGATGTCACATTTTGGTGTGTGTCCACATACACATACCAAAAATCCTTTTATTCTATAAAACTGTGTGCTAAAAATAATAGGGCTTTGGGGAAATTATGTTAGGAAACTGAGACAGAATCTATGTGTCTTCTTCAAGCCCAAAACAAACAAACAAAAACTCTTGCAAACATACAGGCATATTTAATTATCCACTTATGTTACGAATTAAAAACTGGTTGTCAACCTAACACCAGATGAATTAAATCAGCATGGTGCTGAGTGTAGTTGGCCCACCTGGGGAAAGTTGCCAGCATAGACAGAGATGTGGAGAAGAGCTAGGCGTTGTGGATTCTCCTAAGTGTTGCTGCTTTGAGCTGTTGGTTCTCCTGGGGGAGCTCGTCAGGACTAGCTTCCCCAGTATGAGCTGAGCCATTATCATCAGAGGAGCTCAGGACCTTGTTGGTAGGAGTGGCTGTGGTTCACTTTGGAGGAGCTCTGGTCCTTACATTGTGCATTGCTTCCTGGCTCTGGAGAGGCTGTTTAATCTCCAAGAAAAGCTTGCCACGCTGGCTTTCTGGTACTTGACTGTTCTCATCATCAGAGGAGCTTGGGACTTGTTACTGAGCATGACTGCAGTAATTTTCAGGACAGCCCTGGTCCTTGAGTGTGACTTCTCGGCTCCAGTGTCGAACCCTCAACCTACTGGCACAGATCCTTCGTCCTGCTGGCATAGACTTTCTGGCTTCCACTGCTGAACTTTGGTCTTCCCAGCAAACTGGCATGAGTCCTTATCATGGGCACTAGACCTTCAGATGGACTCATGGGAGGCATTGTCATGGGCCCTAGGTTTTCAGCTGAACTCATGCAGGACATTGCTGTGGAATTCAAGCCCTTGGCTGGATATTCTGAGTCTTCTGTGTTATGGACAGATTTCCTGCACTTTTTGTGTGTGTTTAACTCTGGGTGACCATCATAAAATAATATTATAAATTCTGTGTCCTGATTGTAATTGCTTTCCATACAACCCCTAACTACAACACCTGAGATCATTTGCAGTGATAAACTTGAGGTTCCTACTTAGTCCTTCTTCATGGTATAAGGCCTTAAAGGAGGCCCTTCTGAGACAGACCACTTTCACTGAAGTTGAAAGCTAGATCATGTGTTTTAATATAAGAAGATGTCACTTTAGCATCTTTATCTGCACACTTAGCTTCCTCAGATAGCCTTAATACATTGAAAGCTGTAGTAGCTATTAGAACTGCTAAACAGGCTGATACTAGCACTAAAAATATCACTTCTACAGGGTTTTCAGTTTTTCTCCTGAGGTTTTAATGTATGGCCAGATGTCCCTTGTTAAATGGAAAGAAACTGGTTTTAATTACTTTAAAATATTAATACCCCAGGAAAATCCTATACAAGTCAAAATAGCTTCTGCATAATATTGACATCATTTCCTATTTACCAACTGTGTTTCAGCTAATTCACATTAAATAAACATTAATCATAAACATAAGAGGTTGTTGTGCTTTAATTGTTCTATTCTAGGATACAGAAAGCTATTAGAACATCACTACTTTTGCTTACTTGTTGGATTTCTGTTATCAGTGGAAATGGAACTTCACACTGTGAATATAACAAGTAAAAGGTAGAAGTTCATTTACAAAAATTCAGGCAGGGCATGGCTGTACATACTGTGATCCCAGTACTCTGGGATCCTGAGGCAAGGGGACTGCAGGTTTGAGCCCAGTCTGGACAAGTGAGTGGCTCAGTGAAAGCCTTGCTTTGATTTATAGGTGCATGTCCCCTACAGCCTCACATGGTTACACAGGTCGGGCTTCAGAGAGTATGATACTCATTGGAGGATCATGAGTTTATAGCTAAACATGATGCTGGCAAGTGAAGACCATTGGAGAAGGTGGATCCTGAAGACACAGCCTAAATGGGTGTATTTCCCTCCCTCCATTTCCCGCTGCCCTACAGACTGATCTCCTCTGCATGTTCCTCCACCACAGCCAGCTGACTATGGGCTGATACCTCTACAAACTGTGGTGAGAAAGGAACTAGGGTACCCTGTCTCAAAATTTAAAAAAAAATTTTGAAAAGGGTTAGGGATGCAGCTCAGAGTCAAGACGCTGGATTCACTCTCGGTACTGGAGGAAAAACAAAACCAAAAACAAAACAACAAAAAGAATCCAGACTTTGAACTGAGTTTTATATTACTAAGCTGACAGATGCAACTGAAGCAGTTACCTAAGAGAGCCAGACAGGAGAATGGATCCACCTATCAGGATACGCACTATGTATTCTTAAATGAAGACTACAAATGAAATTCTCCAGAGCAATCAAAGATGCAGTGAAAATCCAGATAAAGAACCCACACTCAGAGGTTTTATTTCATTAAAATAAAGACAGAACAAGAATCAAGAGGAAGGCAGTGAAAGCCGAGGGACCACCTGGGTTCTAATGTCACAGAAGCTCTGATGATAGGGAAAAGATGAAGGCTTTGGTAAAGGAATAATGCCCTCACCACAAAACAAATTTCCTGAATGATTTCCTTGTCCTTGCAAAATACTACACAGCCTACATGTGCCAGGTCGGTCCCAGGTCAGGGCATTCCGTACTGTGCTGTCTCAGCACCGAGGAGAGCTCCGAGCCCGCTGTGAGGTTCTCCACTCTGGGATTCTCCTCTGTCTTCCCTGACTCCTTCACTGAGCTTTTGATAAGCACAGACTCCATGGATTTCAATTTCACACTTCAATAAGCAATGTGGCTCCTTTTCCAAACCAGACAGGCCTTGTCTCATTTCACTAGAACTCTGCTCCGGAATTTGTTCCAGGCTCGGGCTGGAAGACAAATGTATAAGAACTAAATCTACAGAAGCAATGGAAATGTCATTGTGTAAGTAAAAATGGGAACACAAGTGACTCACATGCTCCATGTGTGTGACTGCACGAATGTGTGGGGCTGTGTGTACAAAATCAGTGTCCCACCCACAAAAGCCATTTTACAGAAACCAAATCATTTCTTCTTTGTCCAACAATTTCAAAATTGAGATATTAGTAAATATACACCAGATAGGGTCTCCCTCAGTTGAAAACATTAGCAATTGAAGCTGTAATAAAGCACATACACATAGCCTTCCATCTTACTTACATATGTTACTATTTCTTCATGAGATGGAGTTGTTCCTCTCTACTTCTGCCAAAGCAAGAACTTCAAATAACAATAAGGGCATAAGCAAAAATGAGCTGTGATTTAGGTCACCTTTTTCTCTCCCTTTATTTTAAAAGAGTAATCTGGAACAAGGAATACTTTTTCAAGTAAAAACAGATGATCCTGTAACAGGACTGCACAGTGTGTGAGTATTATTGATTTTTCTCCCTAAGTCATTTCAGCGATACAATCTTGAGCCGAGTGACCATCAATAGTAAATGATTTCCAGCCAGACACTCAATCGTCAGACCTGTTTCTCTCAAAGGTTTAGCACTTCGGGTGAAAATACATACAGGGATTTTGAAGCAATAATAGTGTGTGACAGAAGATGTAAACTCCAGAGGATTTTTTCTTATTATAATAAGCCCTATAACTAGAATTACAAAGGAGGGTGTAAAAAAAAAAAGGAAAGGAGCTTCAATTCCTTTGACTTCCTTTTTAAAATGTTTTCTTTCAAGGCTTGAGAAATTGCATTAAGTAACTGGTTCTATTGCTTCCTAAGTCTCAAAGCCTAAAGGGACAACATCAAATCACCCTGGATTCCCATTTCTCATATCAAAGAACACATAAGGAGAAAATCGTCCATGGCTTGAGTTAGCAGTATTTCCACTCTGAAAGATCAGTGATGTCATTTCTCACAGACAAAAGGGACAAAGGAACATTTTCTCCAGTCCTGTTGCTCACCCCAAGCTCTGACCTAAACCATCATAAAGCCAAAGTCTTTGGAGAATTCAACACCAAAAGTTCTCTTGAATTTTATAAAATGTCAAATGCCCCAGTGCTTCAAATTTCAACACAGCTACTGGGAACACAGGAAAAATGACCCACACTCTCATTCAGGTTAAATTCATAATTTCTCCACCACATACACTGTCTCGCTCTCTTTTGGAGCTATATTTATTATCTCCCCCCTTCTCCCTAACTCTCTTCCTCCCCTTCATTTTCTTCTCCCTTTTTTCCTCCATGTGTCTCTCTGTGTCTCTCTTCTGTGCCCTTACCTCTGTCCTTAGGGACAAAATGATTCTGGTCAGGGTTGTATGAGTTCTGAGAAAGTCAAACAGCCGGGGAACAGCACCTGGTTCTGGAAAATGAAAGACACCATTTTCCCAAGGTCTTCCATGAACAATAGCATTTAAATGCTTTATCGGTGCAGCAGAAATTGAGCAGACCATGAGGGAAAACTCAAGAGGATTCACCTCCAATGCCATTTTCCCTGAAAAATCCACAGTACTAAAGCCTTGTCATCTGTATAAATAGCATTTCCACAAATACATGGGCTCACACATTCTGGCTAGCCAAGTGAATGGGTTTTACCTTTGTCTCCTAAAAGGCAAGTCTGCTCACTAAGTACATATTAATTTGCCAGTTCCAGACACATCATCTGATATCTAGCTGGTCAATTTAAATTACCTCTAACTTCACTATAATTGTGTCTAATTATAATGATGCTGAAATACTGAAAATTGTCTTGGTTTTTTAGTATTTACTGTTGCTTTAACCTTCCAAGTTTCCCCCACAAGGCCTAGGAAAATAACCAAAAAGTAGAGACAATGTAATAAGCAGGGTCTTTAGAACCCAGCACTGGTCTTGTTTGGAAAATCTGCTGCTCACTCACCTTAAAGAGGGAAAAGTAGCTTGGCCCATGCACATAGCTAGGGACGTTCAGGGAACGCAAAGGTGCTTGGCTGCGATGATGGATAACGAGGCAGGGTGCTCACGAATGCAATCAATGGATTACCTCCTGTTCTCATTTGTGGTAATTGTCATATAATAGGTTGTTTAAGTCCTCTCACCAGCCTTAATTGCAGGCTGGGTTCTCACCTTTGAACTTTAATCCTCCGGTTTTAATTGTAAACAATAAATTGTCTTTCAAATGCTTTCTCTTTCCTTTACCTCCAACCTTTAAAAATTAGATCTCCCTCAGCTTGACCTCTAGGAAGGAAGCGCAGTATGCTCCGAGCAGCCAGTGCAGACCTTGGAAAGTCACCTCTGTGCCTAACTCCAATGGCTGAGAAATACAGAGTGGGAGGAAAACAGGAAACGACCTCGCACACAGCAGCTGGTCCCCCTCGCCTTGAGTGGCCTGGCCGGTTCACTCTGACCTTACCTGATCTCCACCCTCAACTCCTCCTACGCAAAGACCTCTGGGGAAAGGCAGGATTAGCCATTTGGACAACAAGTTACCCAGAGTTTGTGCCAGACATTTCTTTTTAATTGCCTAAGGGCTTCAAGAAATAAATGTTACACCACGGAGGTCCTGCAACTTGTTCTAATACAAATCAAGAGCAGGTCTCTCAATCTACTGGTAACATTCCTGTTTATTCCTTTGTATATCACTCAAAGCCATTAATCACTTTAGCAGCCGTACTTTCTCATAGGAGGCAAGGGGAAATGATAATGTTTTATGTGCGTAATTAATCTGTGGCAGATGTGATGTTTCCAAGACTACTGCCATTAGCACATTGACAGGCTTCTGACACATATTCCAGCACCAGTTAGTAATGATTTTAATATGCTAATACCATGCTACTCATAAACAAGAAACATTCAGGCCTTAAGTTTTATATAAGCGCTATTATTTGCAAGGGCTTTTCAGTGAAGACTAGTGATGAGGTTTTTATTTTCCTAATGTTGCTGTTGAATAAACAGTATCCAATTAACATACCAGCTGGAAGTACAACATGCCACGGTTCTATTTCTTCTGATAATAGTCAACGTTTGTAAAGTGAGTAAAATAATCCAGGATAAAACCAATAGCCATTCAGGGAAGAGAAAAGTAACCGATCTGTGATGGATTATGTTTTCAACACTTGAACTTTTGGTCTTGAAAATCACAAAAATGACCAATAGAGTTACAGAAGAAAATGTAGAGAAAATCCTAACTATATTTAATAATTTTAAAGATTTTCCTGAAATGCAAAGCTGGTGTTTATGCGATGCCAGCCCTGTCTGGCAGCTCCATGGAGCTTTGTCCTAGTGTAGATTTGTGTGCTTACATCTAACCCAGAGCTGACACAGTCTATGTAGTCTGAAAGTTGCTTTTTATTTCTCTCTAGTTTAGGTAAGGTAACAACCCCAGATAGTCACAGGACCTTCTGTGAACCTTTCTCCTCGTCACATTTTCTCCTTAAATATGTGTTAGGATAATAATAAATTGCTACCCACGGCAAACGTGCTTCATCATAATTTTGCTCCATGCTGAATTGGTAAAATGGCCACAGTCACTGACAGGCAGTCTGCAATACTAACAACAAGAGAAGGATTACTGCGGGACCTAACTCAAGGTCAAACGCTTAGGAGCTGGAAAGGATGAAGCACTGCCCTTGGAAAATACTGTTGCTTACTGTTCAGTGTTTAACCTGATAACAGAAGACCACTCTAGCCTCTAGCTATGAAAAAAAAATACAGACTTTCTGTAACAAAGAGTTATTTTTAAAAACAATTTAATAAAACAAATTGGCCAACCATTTGCCTGTGAGGCAAGGCTGAATGCCAAAAATAGAAGTGTGTGCTGGGGTCAGGAGGAAGAACAGCAAGCAGCTAATGAACAGATTTCAGCAAGGGCAAGCCTTCCCGCCACCCCAGCACCTGCAAACAGGAGCTGCAGCAAAGATTTCTGCAGCCCAAGGCTTCGCACCAATGAAAGTGTTTAGTATGGTTTGCTTAAACAGTCAGGCTATGCTCCATGTGAAAAATCATCTTTCTGAAATAATATATAGGCGCAGTATGTAGACAGGCTGTACAGCAATGCTTCTGGCATGACACAGATAATATAGTCCTAATATCCCCTAGACAGCTGGCAGAGTCATTCAGGGGCAGAGATTCTCTTCTGCAGTTAACCGAAAGGCGTTCCTTCTCTCACTCGTCTGTCCTTTGTCCTTTGGTCCAAGGAAAGGTTGCTAACATTTGATAAGTGGCTATGAGTATACACCATGTTCTAATCACTCTCCGTTATTATTTAATCCTCAAAACAACTTTAGGAGGCTGAGGTCATTTTCTCCATTACAGATGAGCCTTGGTGCAGATAATTAAGTTAGTCCAGGCCCAGAGATTCAAATCCAGCTTTGTCTGGCTCCAAATTCCTTCATTATTCCCTTTTCTCATGTTTCCAGTGCTGAACATATTCTCAGGAAATTATTACTGAGACCACAAATTGATAAAGCCCTCCCTGCCTGGGAGAAAGACAGAATTAGCTGACAACTTAAAAATTTATTCTTTTGTATTGTCAAGAAACATTTTCACCCTTCAGATCTTTCTGAAAGAGCCCATTTTAATTGAAACTTTCATTGGAATAATAAAAATTTCAAAACTACAGCTGACTTAAAATTTGGATTGTTTAGGTTTATTTTTAATTATTTTTCTCTTTAATAAAGGGAGAGGTCAGTTTAATGAGACTCTAGTATGCCTACCCATAACTAGATGTAAATCTTTTCATTCAATTTGTTACTTAACTAGAAAACTGAACTACTACTACATGCTGTACACCTAAAAAGGACTAAGATACCTGACTAACCGTATATCAGAATTGCACGCGGTGCTCTACATATCAGTTCATGCTGCTGTTAGCTTGCCATCTGGCTGATCTCCGGTGAATTCTCAGGTCTTCTGTTAGACCCACAGTCCTCTGCCTCGCACAGACGTTGGCCATGGCATTGGAGATGATGTTTGCAAATTGTTTCACTCACTCTCCCAATAGCAAACCCACATTTCCTTAATATGTGCATCAATAATTCAGCATACCATTGTTTCGCTCCCACGGTGTGCAAGGCAATGTGCTAAGCAACAAGGATGAGCTGAAGAGGTCCTCGCCTTGTACAGCTCACACTCCACATCAGCAAATTTTTATCCTGGGAAGGATAAGATGGTAAATGTGGTGGCTTGTGGATCCTACAATCTCCAGTGTAACTACATACTAAATTTTGCCCTTGTCAGTCAAATTAATAAGCACAGAGATTTGTGGATGGGGGAGAGAGAAAATGATGCCACACCAGCAAACAAGCCCAGTCTGGGAACCAGCACCATGTACGGACCACCACCAGACTGAGAACAGCTAGCACAAGCCCCTTCTAGAGCATGGACCTGCAAACAGGAAGAACCACTGCACCCCTCCTCCACCCCACCATGGGTGACTGACTTAGCCAGAGAAACAAAGGCTGTGATGATAGCTACGGGGCTGAAAGGCAATTCAATGCCTGTGGTGCTTTGGTGTTTCACTAACATTGCAGGTCTGATCATGGGTGCAGAGGATATCGATATGCAGTATGGCATCTAGGGGGCATCTCCTTCTGAGGGTTGTGAGTCCTTTGTGGATTCCCTATGGTCTCGTTTTGAGGTCCTACATTGATTCCATTGTTTTGCTGGGTTGGGTTTTATTCTCTTTTGTTTTGTTTGATTATGATAAATCTGAAGGCAGGAGCAGCTATATCAAAGATAGCATGATATTGGCAGCAATTTTGGATTTACTACTGACTTATTTTGAAACTCTTTATTGCATTCATTGTTTTGCTTTTTAATGTTTCTATTCTGTTCTATTCTGCTTGACTTTTACTATGTCCAAAATTATCTACAGCTATTTTGCAGACACCAAAAGGCATTATGATAATCATTGCTGATTTTGTAATGTTTTGAAGTCCTGTATCTCTTACACTGATTTGTTTTGATTGGTTTTATTCTGTTTTATCCTCTTTAAAATAAAAAATAATAATAAGCACAGAAATATTCTAGTGAAAAGTTGTCAAAAACATGTGGGCCAGAGTTTACTAATCTGTTGAATGTGGCACTGTTATCACAGCTCTCTGTAATGCTACTCTGTATTGTATACCTTTTAATACTATCTTAGAATATCTTAATTAAACTGCTTATTTTGATATAGTTATACATTCACATGAAGTTGTAAGAAATAGAGAAATTTTGCCCACATTTCTTTTCACTAAACAAAAATCTTTGAAACCATGTCACTACTAACACAGCATAGAAGGTCACATCTTAGTTAGATTCCAAAGCTTGTAAATGGTAAAAGGTAACTGCATAGAATCAAATTTACTTAACAGTTCTCAGAAAATCATCACTATGTAGATGAAAATATAACAAAGCCAGCACTTCCTTCACAGGCAGAGCAGAAAGACAGCTGTACCTCTGGCTGGGCACTTACGGAAGACAGTTGTTTATACCCAGATGCATCTTCAATCACTAGAGTCAAGTGGAGCGCTTTGAGGAAATAAATGCATGAGGGCTGAACTTATCAAGAAAGCAGTTTCAGGCCCTGTTCCAAGGGCCCTAGGCCCTATGCGACTGTCTGTGTTTGGAAACCCTTTTCCTGTCCCTCAGCACCTCCTTTGTCAACTATCTATCACTGTGACAAAATACCTGCCAAACAACTTAAAGGAGAAAACTTTATTTTGGCTCACGGTTTAGAGGCTGCAGTCCATGGAGGGCTGGCTCTGTTGTTGCTGGACTGGTGCGAGGCAGTATATCATCTAGAGTGTGGTAGATCCCAGCTGCTTACCTCATAGCATCTGGGAAGCAAAGAGAGAGAAAAAAATGGCCAAGTTCTCAATTTCCTGTCCAGGTCCACCCTTGTATTCATTAAAAACAATAGCCAACGCCATAACTGTGAGGAAGGCAGGTTTATTTTGGCTCACAGTGTATAGTACTTTCAATTCATAGCACTCTGACTCCAAAGCAGGGAAGCACAGCAGAGGGGTGTGATGGAGGAGAAACAAGCCATGGCATTGCAGACAGGAAGCAGACCAAGATCAAGGAAGGAGAGTCCACTTCCTTCAACCAGGCTTCACCTCCCAACATCACATTTAACTATAAACTCATCAGCGGATTAAGCCACTGATGAGTATCATGCCCCCACAATCCAATCACCTTCCCAAAGCCCTACTTAGGAGCATGTGAAC